TCCCGGACCGGGGCACGAACCCGTGTCCGGGAAGATCCCACATGCCGCAGAGCGGCTGGGCCCGTGAGCCATGGACGCTGAGCCTGCGCGTCTGGAGCCTGTGCTCCGCAACGGGAGAGGCCACAACAGTGAGAGGCCCGCGTACCGCAAAAAAAAAAAAAGTCAAGGAATTGGATTATCAGAGTAGCACATTAAGGCATGCCCATTAACGGCATAATAAATCACCCCAAAGCTCAGCGACTTAAATCAACCACAATTATTTTATTACCTTCCCCAGTTTCTGTGGTCAGGAATTCAGGGAGGGCTTGGTGGGGAGATTCTGGTCTGGGATCCCTCATGTGGCTGCAATCAGATAGCGGCTGGAGCTGGAACAGCAGAGGGGCTAGAGGAGCTGCAGTATTGCTGGGTATCTCTCTCTTTCTTCATACAGTCTCGTGGCCTCTCTATGTGCTCTCTTCAAAAGAACTGGTTTGTGCTTCCTCCTCACAACATGGCAGGCTGAGGACAATTAAAACTGCTCCAGTGCAAGTATTTCTGCTTCCAAGACAGCAGCCACATCAAATTTCATGACATGGCCTCAGAAGTCACGCAGCATCTCTTCTGCCACATTCCATGGCTTACAAGTGAGTCACAAACCCACCTGGATTCAAGGAGGAATTAAACTTACTCCTCAGTGGAGAAATGGCAAGGTTCTCGAAGAGCTATGTGGGCTGGGAGATATTGTGACCATCTTTGGAAAATATAATATGCTATAAGGTACAAATAACTGATGATCATAGCCTTTAAAAGAAGTTTTTGTATTTTAAGAAAATAATGTTAGTCCAAATAAATCTCTATATTAGTGGAATAAGTATTGAAGAACCTTACATTAACTACCTTTAGTCTCTTCTTCTCCACATTACTTATGACTATTTAGGGTAGAACAATTGGGTGTAATGTGCTATATTTGCTAGGGCTGCCATAACGAAGTACCACAAACTGAGTGGCTTTAACAACAGAAATGTATTGTCTCACAGTTCTGGAGGCTAAAAATCTGAGATTAAGGTCTTGGCAAAGTTGATTTTCCCTGAGGGCTATAACAGAAGAACCATTCCATGCCTCTCCCCTAGCTTCTGATGGTTTGCTGGTAACCTTTGCTACTCCTTGTTTTGTAGAAGCATTGCTCCAACCTCTAGCCTTCATCTTCACATGGTATTCTCCCTGAGTGCATGTATCTTGTCCAAATTTCCCCCCCCCCTTTTTTTTTTTTTTTGCGGTACGCGGGCCTCTCACTGTTGCGGGCTCTCCCGTTGCGGAGCACAGGCTCCGGACGCGCAGGCCCAGCGGCCATGGCTCACGGGCCCAGCCGCTCCACGGCACGTGGGATCCTCCCAGACCGGGGCACGAACCCGTGTCCCCTGCATCGGCAGGTGGACCCTCAACCACTGAGCCACCAAGGAAGCCCCCAAATTTCCCCTTTTTATAAGGACACCAGTCTTATTGGATTAGGGACTCACCCTACTCCAGTAAGACGTCATCTTAACTAATTTCATCTGCAATGACCCTGTTTACGTATAAGGTCGCATTCTGAGGTACTGGGGGATAGGACTTTAACATATGAATCTGGGTGGGGGGACACAATTCAACCCATAACATGTCTCTCATTTTTTGAAAGAAGGGGCTTCTTTTGACGTGGTTTCTGAAAGTATGAATGGAAGAGCAGTGCCCAATCCCAGGTAAAATTTTCAAATATTATATCTATCTTCTCCTTTTCATGGCCCTGGCCATTCTTTTGTATCTCCTAAACACCTTCTTTAAATTTTAAGTAAAGGTTTTCGTTAAGGCTTTTAATGCCATTAGAGTGTTTTAGGATTAAATGTCCTTTTTGTTAAAACGCAATGATCAAATATTGTTTATGGGGTCTCATTCCCTCCCAGATTTTCTATCGTCCTAATGTCCCTAGATATGTGACTTCGTATTGCATAGCATTTTTCAAGAATTTATTCTCCTTGTAACCTGGGTCTCACCTATGCAACAACCTAGTTCATTTAAGGAGGCTTAAAGAGCAATTTATTGATTTGGGGGATTCGAGATTTTTCTCTCTCAGTATTAGGCAGACATTTAAAATTTTATTTCCTTTGGATGTCTAAAGCAAAAAGAAAATAAAACAGGCACATCCCGCTGCCTCATTAGGGAAGCCACAAGTCTTTGGCTTTTCTAACCTAGCACTTACCTTGCACTTGATGTTTTTAAAATACCATCCAATCATTAAATAGCCAGTTCCTACTACATCTTTGTAAGATGTGAGAATTCTTGCCTTTTTTTTTTTTTTTTTTTGGTTTTTTGGCCGCTCCCTTTTTTTGGCTTTTCCCCTTGCGGGCGCAGGGTCCGGATGCGCAGGCTCAGCAGCCATGGCTCACGGGCCCAGCCGCTCCGCGGCATGTGGGATCCTTCCCGCACCGGGGCACGAACCCGTGTCCCCTGCATCGGCAGGCGGACTCTCAACCACTGCGCCACCAGGGAAGCCCAATCCTTGCCATTTTTAGTTGAGGAAATTGAAGCAAAAAGAACCAAGGTGACCTTTGCAAGGTGAAATAACAAATGAGTAGACCCAGATATCCACCATTTTATGAACTAAACCTTTGTCCTGTGCAAGCCCAGGGGTAGATTTTCATGACCACATCCTTTTCTTCTCTTCCCAGAAGCCAAATGCCCACTTTCCCCTTTGCTCTGCAGTCATTAGAGGGGCAGCAGGAAAGGCAGGAGTTAGCAGATGCCCAGCAAACAAGGATGCCTAGCAGATACCTACTGAGAGCAGGCTTGTTATTAGTGTTTGTAAAACACCCCCTGGAGAGTCCCAGAAATCTTAAGGGGAAACTTTGGAATATGAAGCCCTGAGTCAGCAGGTGGGCATCCCAGTGCAATCTCTTTTGCATTTGCTGGGTGGTGAGATCTGAGAAATTCAGGTCATATGATAATAATGAAAAAGATATGGAAGGTGTTCCTTCTAATCCTAGAAAACTGTAATCTTCTTAATCACAGACTCTATGAGAAACAGGCCCCCCAAAATACTTTGGTCTGGTCTTATGCCAATAAATGGCAATAGCAAATTTTACCCTTAATTCAAGGAAGGTCTGCAGGAAGGAATCCCAGGCATCTTGTGTGGTTGCCTGCCCAGGAAGGTCAGTAGGCAACATGATGCCCTCTAGTATTTGCGAAGTTCTCAGTTATTTCTCTGGTGAGGAAAGATTGCATATAATTGGCTGGTCCTATCCTTGAGTGGAGGGAAATCAGTGGCATGCACATTTTCTTGCTTAAGGTAATTCAAGATGCCACCCAGATGAGCATGTTCCTCTTAGGCAGGCCAACAAGAAGCAAGAGGCCAACTCATATCACATTCTCCTCTCCTGAGCTACCAAACACATCTTTTCCTTGCTTTTCTCTTTAGTCATTTACTTTAAAATGGTGACTAGCTTTTTACTGGGCAGAAGTATATCTAGTAAGGTATGCTTCGCTTTGATTATATGATACTTACATGGAATAGCACGTGATATGGACTTCTTTATGAGCAAGGGTATAAATTGAGGCTTCTTGTTTTCATATCAAAGTGCCACCTTTGTGTCCTGCACCCCTAAATTCTAAGCATATGGATAGAAGCATTTAGGCCTGTTTTCATAATCAATACTAGGAAATTCATCCTATTTCTCATTTCACATTGGCTGCTGAGAGTCTCAGAGCCAAGTTTAGTGCTCAGTTTCATTGTACATTCTTAGTTTAGGTTTTCAGGTATAAAATATTTACGATGTTTCTTATTTATCCAGTCTTAATGATTTTATTTTCAAAGAGTTTTTTACTACAAGGTATGTCAAATCTTTTTTTCTTAATAATTTAAGCATGGTATTCATAATAAATAAAATACATTTTAAAAAACAGCATACTATTCAACACTGAGAATGTCCTTAGAAAGTCATTATTTGTTTTGTGCACAGGTTGATTAGAGAACACTGGTAAGAGATAACCAGTTCTGATAGTTTGCTGGCAAACACCTATCCTGCCATACTGGAAAGTTAAGATGTTGACATCTCTCTGTGAATTGTTTAAAGACACTGCCCTGAGCCTCCTTAGCACATGCCACAGCAATTTACCTCTGCCCCTTGCCTGGGACCACTCCCTCCTGCACCTTCCCCAGGATCCAGCTCTGACCTGTAGCCATTCTCTCAAGTTGGTTGTCTAGCCATTCTGGTGATGTATTTTAATAACCCCCTTGCCTCCTTTTAGTGCAAACAGTAGCTCTGCTTATTAATATAAGGACAGGATAGTGATGGAGAATAGAGACTCTCAAGCTGGACTGCTTGGGTTCAAGCCCTGGTAAAGCCTCACGTTGTCCCTGTGACCTTAGTGAGTCCTGTATCTTCTCTGTGCCTCATTTCTTCCTCTCTGAGTTGGAGGTACTAGTGTTATCACCGTCACAGGACTGTCGTGAGGAATGAATGAGTGTAAAGCAGTTAGAGCAGTGCTTGTATAAGCTCCATGCATTAGCCATTATTATTGAGCATCTACTCTGTGCCAGGCACAGTATTAAATGCTTTATGTTATCAAATCCCCCAAATCCCCCATCAAGTAGGTATTATCATCCCTAATTTAAAGAGAATTGAATCTCAGAGAAATTAAGAAATGTGCCTGAGGTTACCATGCTGGTGACAGAGACGGAAGATTTAAATTCCTACCTTTGACCCTAACTCCATGCTTTCCCTTGTGCCCTAGATTCTTCTCTGGAGGAAGTGGTACTTTGCAGCAAAGAAGAAAAAGGAGACAACTGGCTGGTCCAGGTAACTTTGGGGAATGCTGAGTATGTGAAGATGGTCAGTGGATACAGAGACCTCAGAGGATGGGTGGAAAACAGGGTTCCCCTCTGACTAGGAGAGTCAGAGCTTCTGTTTATAACAGTACTCTCCCATCACCCAGGCTTAAAACCTGGCAGTCATCCCCGACCCCTCCCTTTTCCTCCTCCCAAGCACCTCTGTTCTGCTCCAAAGTGACGCCTCTCACATCCCTTTCATTCCGTTCATGCCTCATGCTAACACTCCATTTCAAGTTCCCATTACCTCATGTCGAGATCATTTCAAGAGCCTCTTAGCTCTTCTCCCAGCCTCCATGTCTCTAAGACACCCTTCCCACAACCTCCGTGTTATCCCTAAAGAAACTGCTTCCATCATGTGATTTCACTGGTCAAACCTTGCCCCCTCGTGACTACCCAGTGTCTCCTGAATACAGATCAGCTTTCTGGAGGAGCATTCAAGCTTCTTCTTAAGCTAATTCCAATCTGCATTTTCAGATTGCTCCCTCAGGACTCCTCTGTAAGAATCCTGTGATTTAGCCAGGACTGTTTCCTTGTTATTCCTTAACTGCACCACTTCCTTCCCCACCTCCAAGACTCTACCCACTCCATTCCCCACGCCTGGCACACCTTCCTCTGTCCCATCCGTCACAACTCAATTCAGCCCCTCCCCACTGTGACCCCTTCCCTGCTCACTCCAGGGCAAGGAGCCTCTCCCTTATCTGAATCATACCACCCATTAGGCACTCAGCCCCTACTGCCTTATAGCATTAGGAATCAGCTTTTCATTAGCTCATGCTCTGCTTTCCCGGTTACACTGTGACTGACTTCCAGCCAGAGGAGTGAAGGAGAGGGGTGGTGGGAGGGCTGTGACGCGGGGAGGTAAGTGGTGGGGCTGGTGGCTAGGCTCTTGGGCACAGAAATTAGACAAGCTGGGTCTGAGCCACAGCTCTGCACCAACTAACTAAGGAGACAGTCTTATTAGGACACCTAATCTCTCAGTGTCCCCATCTGTAAAAAGAGGAGAATGACCATCCCTTCCTCATAGGGCTATTGTGAGGATTAAATGAGTTAATATGCAGAGAGCCCTTACCCAGGGCCTGACACACAGATAAAGCTCAATTAATATTAGTTATTATTACTTTCTTTATCAAACAAGAGATGGTTTATGATCTACTAGACACTGTATAAATGACCTTATTTAATTTGTATGACAACCCTATGAGACAAGAAGTTCATGCCCTAGCTATGCCCAGCTGTGGAGCTCTCGGATCAGCCCTGAATGGCTAAATTGGGACTTTTACAATGAGAGGGAAATACATGCCAGTCATATTTAGGCCATGTTTAATGTCCCTGTTGCAGCTGAACTTAATTCTAACAGGCACGATTCCTGTCTCTCTGGTGCTGGGTGTAGCAGAATTTCTCTCTGGTGGCCATTAGGAACTTCATTTCTCGTATTAAAAATTCTAGTAAAGGGGGTTCCCTGGTGGCCCAGAGGTTAAGAATCCGCCTGCCAATGCAGGGGATATGGGTTCAAGCCCTGGTCCGGGAAGGTCCCACATGCCGCAGAGCAACTAAGCCCCTGTGCCACAACTACTGAGCCCGCATGCCACAGTGACTGAAGCCCGCGTGCCTAGAGCCTGTGCTCTGCAACAAGAGAAGCCAGCGCAATGAGAAGCCCACGCACTGCAACTAAAGAAAGCCCACACGCAGCAACGAAGACCCAACGCAGCCAAAAATAAAAAATAAATAAAATTTAAAAAGAATTCTAGTAAGAGGAAATGACTCAATTTCAGTCTTTCCCACACTGTCCAGCTCTCTCTTTCGAGTGAGCTGAAAAATATGAGATTGAGGAATAAAAGAGAGAGAGAAACAGATATATAGAGTCTTTCTAAATAGATGGGAGGAGGCAGGACAGCATTAACATTGGGGACTCTAGGCTGCCACTGCCCATGACACCCTGGGGACACTGGGGCAGGTAGAGTTTCACTGTTGACACAGTCTCTTCAGAGACAACAGCATCAGAAGTGGATGTTTCAGGCTGTATAGATCTTAAACCCAGCCTCAGATCAAAATGTGCCTGGAGCTGGCTATGGGTCATGGTTTAGCAATTTGCATTGTCATGACCTTGATTTGTCCTTTGTGCATCTACATCTTAGAGATAAAGAAAAGTAAAACAGGGACTTCCCTGGTGGCGCAGTGGTTAAGAATCCGCCTGCCAATGCAGGGGACAGGGTTCGAGCCCTGGTCCGAGAACATCCCACATTTCGCGGAGCAACTAAGCCCGTGCGCCACAACTACTGAGCCTGCGCTCTAGAGCCCGCGCGCGAAAGCCCACGCGCAGCAATGAAGACCCAACGCAGCCAAAAATAAATAAATAGAATAAATAAATTTTTTAAAAAAACGTAAAACATAAAAACAATAAGTAGGTGGTCAAATCAGTGACACAACACCCCTCACCCCACCTCATTCTGACTTGCTAGAGGAGCTTGTCCTTCAGTAGAGCTGCGAATTGTAGCTGGGCACAGACATGAGACCCAGTTTAGTCCAACTGACTGGTGATGTCTTCTGAGGGTCTTATGGGAAACTCCTTCTTCACTGGATATAATGTTGTTGACATGTGGTGCCTGGAACTGCTGCAGCCAACTGGTTAGTAGGAGGGAGACATGGTTGAGATACCCAGGAAGGCAGAGCCAAGAGATGAAACATATCTGGATCCTGAAGACGTCATTGATCCAATCTTTTAAAGTTGGACTGAATCCAGACTTATTGCTATGTGAAAGAATAAATGTCCTTATTGTTTAATTAATTTTGGTTAGATATTGTTATTTGTAGAGTAACTTACTGATGCAGTGGCCAAAAACATTTTAACATTCTAAGCTGTGATGCTACATCTTTTTTTGTTGTTTTGTTTTTTGTTTTGTTGCGGTACGCAGGCCTCTCACTGTTGTGGCCTCTCCCGTTGCGGAGCACAGGCTCCAGACGCGCAGGCTCAGCGGCCATGGCTCACGGGCCCAGCCACTCCGCGGCATGTGGGATCTTCCCAGACCCGGGCACGAACCCGTGTCCTCTGCATCGGCAGGCAGACTCTCAACCACTGCGCCACCAGGGAAGCCCTGTGATGCTACATCTTTATAGTCCACCCTAGGTCTTGCCTTTGCTGGCATGTTATTTCCCCATTTTCTGATGGGAGACAGGCTAGGGAAACACGCTATATCCACTTAATGGAAGATTCTGCAGCTAAGTGATCTGTGTTCAAAATCTGGCTTTACCCGTGTGACCTTCGGCAAATTAACTTTTCTCAGCTTCCTCATCCATCAAATGGCGACAAGAATTGTCCTGCCTGATAGGATTGTACTGAGGATCAAATGAGCTAATACAAACACAATACTTGGAAGATTGCCTGGCCCATAGCAAGTCATCAATCAGTTTACATTAGATTTGTCTTCATCCTCAGCAGCTGTGCACCCTTCTGCATGTTTCCAAGGCATTTTGCCATCACACTTTCCACCCATATTTTCCTTTGCCAAGCACTTCTGGGAAGAGCTAAGATGTGGGACAGACATGGCCAGCTCAGTCCTCATCCTAGCATGCATACCACAAGATCATCAGAAAAGAAGCTTCATGAACAGAAAGTAACAAATATTTTGTTTGGAAACACCATATAGGAGCCAAAATTCCCTACGCTCCCCCGATCCCACGCTCTGGGATCCCACGTCCTTCACCCTTTGTGCTGAGACAGAGATGGCAGGGACTCCCAGGGCTGGTTTTCCCACAGACCCCTGGGCTGTGCCCTTGGCAATGACTGTGTCCCTCATACGACTAAAGTCCTAGAAACTAGAAATGGGAAAACACCACAGATCCTCTTATATCACTAGTATTTTTTACTTTGCTACCTGCCATTTCTCCCCCTCTTCCTCTTTTTCGCTGGGCCAAGAATTCTTCCAGTCTTCTCTTGGGAGACTCCTTTTCCCATCCTTGTCCCCCTCGGGGACTGCAGAGGCCATTTCAGCTTCTTACGTCTGTATTATGCTTGCCAATCTTAGTCAGCTTTCAGCCAAGACTTCTGTATATCTCATCTGTAGAGCCCTTGGCAGCTTCCAAGATACTTTGGCCCAAGTTGTCTAATCCTCACAAAAATCTTGTATGGTGCATGCTTTTATTCCAAACCAGACTCCTCAGGGCTTTTCCCCTTTCCTGTGGAGATCAAGGGCAGAGGGAGGTAGGACAAAAATATTTCACTTTCTTTGCAATACAGACCTGAGGCGATTAGGACCTCATCCAATTTTACCTCAGCAGTGAGCCTTTCAGGTGGGGAGAAAGCAAAGACCCTGCAGAAATCACTCAAAGTCCACCTGAAACTTGAGTACCTGGCTTTTAAAGGAAAAACAAACACCTGATACTTCTCTGGGTCAAAGGATCTGGCTCTGACTTCTCACTGGAGGTCCAATGCAGATAGAGGGAGAGGGAGGAAGAAGGCTCTGGAATCTAAGCTGGTTTAACGAAGTGCTTCCTGGCTTGAAATCTTTGGCCATTTGTTTGAGACTGAAGAAGCACAGTACCTGGGCCCTTCAGATTAAAGACGCTCTATTGCTTTGTTTACCGGAGAGGCCCTCAAATGTTTATACTGGCAGCGACTGGGCTAGACACTGAGGAGCCCACCCTGTGCTCAAAGGACTGGAGGTTTCAATTCTCTGTGAAGAGCTGACTGTGCAGGTGAGGTTTGCCCGAACAGGACTGCAGGTCTGTGGAGCTCCGCTTGCCGCATTCTGTAAGGTGGAAGGAAACGGAGGCCTCTGCGTGCGAGCTGGTACCTCACAGTTCTGCCGCCTCAGCCTCTGTCTGAGCTGCCAGACTCATGGAAAAGCTCCTTTCACGTCTTCAGTTTCATTCAGTGCCAAGTTGGGAGGCCTGGAGAGGGATCAGGGTCCCAACCACTGCGTTAACCAGAGCAGTACAAGTGACAAACAAATACTGTGCTTTCTTTTTTTTTCTTTTTCTTTTCTGCCTTCCAGGAAGAATTTTTAAAACCACAGAAGCAAAAGCCCAGGTCACTTTCTGCCTTCAAGCACACCCTGTTCCTTCACAAGGAAAAGAGAAGCCCACAGAGCAACATTTACTCATAAAGTCTCTATTCAGCTCTCCTTGCTTGTTTTTGACACAGGGTTCAGCTAACTGGTGCCCACATAGTGCAGACCAGCGGGGGAAGTGGGGTTTGCTGCGGAGAATAGCAAAAAGACCTGCTCTTCCAGAATGCGGGGGAAAACTGCATTATTTCTGGAGGAGTGGCCCGGAACACAGTGGGGACTCTCTTCCCTATTTTCCCCTTTGGATTGGAGACTGCCCACCTGCCCATTCCTGCCTGGGACACCCTTCCTCGCAAGGGGCTTCCTCGGGGGGAAATGGGGCGTCTGCCTTCACGTCATTTGAATGGGCTGTTTTTGGGTGGCTTTCATGGTACAGCGATTCCTACCTGAGAAGGAGACAAGTGAGCCACTTTCTAGCTGCTCAGGGTGAAAATTTTGGAAACATCCTTAACTCCTTTCTTCCTCACGTCCCACTTCCAGTCCACCAGCATATCGTGTTGGCTCCCCATTCAAAAGTTAATCCGTATTTATAACGATCTAAATCACAAGATGTACTCAGTATCTGTAACTATCTATGGTTCCACAAGAGACAGAACCAGTAGGAGATTTATTGCCAGGAACCGGCTTTGACAGTTGCAGGGGCTGGTTAGGTGAGTCTGAAATCTGTAGGGTGGGCCATCAGGAAGGGCAGGAGGGAACTCTCAGGCATGAGCCGAAACTGCTGTCCACAGGTAAATCTTCTTCTTCATCAAGGAACCCTTAGCTCTGCCCACAAGGCTTTTCAGCTGATTGAATCAGGCCCACCCTGAATCTAGGATAAGTTCCCTGACTTAAAGTCAACAAATTAGGGCTTCCCTGGTGGCGCAGTGGTTAAGAATCCGCCTGCCAATGCAGGGGACACAGGTTCGAGCCCTGGTCCGGGAAGATCCCACATGCTGCAGAGCATCTAAGCCCGTGCGCCACAACTACTGAGCCTGCGCTCTAGAGCCTGTGAGCCACAACTACTGAGCCCATGAGCCACAACTACTGAAGCCTGCGCACCGCAGCGAAGAATAGCCCCCGCCCACCACAACTAGAGAAAGCCCACGCACAGCAATGAAGACCCAGTGCAGCCAAAAAAAAAGGGTCAACTAATTAGAGACTTTAACTATCTTCACAGCATCCACCCAGGTCAGTGTTTGACTGAATAACTAGGGACTGTAGCCTAGTCAAGGTGACATATAAAACCTACTGTCACTTATTCAACTCTCCCCTCCACAGCCCCCTCCCTTGAGCCAGGCCACCAGCATTTCTCCCCTGAATTATTGCTTTAGCCTCTTTACCAGTTTCCCTGTTTCTTGGCCTCCCTGCCCCTCCCCACAACTGTTTTCAACAAAGCAGCTAGAGTGATCATTACTCCATTGCTCAAAGCCCTCATGGTGGGCAGAATCATGGTCTCCCAAAGATGTCTGTGTCCTAATCCCTAGAACCGTGACTCTGTTACCTGACATGGCAAAAGGGACTTTTAAGGATGTGCTCAGGGTATGGACCTCGAAATAGGCAGATGATCCTGGATTACCAGGTGGGTGCAATCTAATCACATGTCATTAAAAATGGAAGAGAGAGGCCTCAGAGTGGTCAGAGACATCTGCTGTGAGAAGGGCTTGACCCTCCACCACTGGCTTTGAAAATGGAGGAAGGGGCCACGGCCAACAGCAAGGAAAGGGGGGCTTCGGTCCTACACCGGCATGGAACTGAATTCTGCTGACACACTGAACAAGCAAGAAAAAAGATTCTCCCCTAGAGCTTCCGGTAAAAAATGCTGCCCTGCCAACCGCTTGATTTTAGCCTGGTGAGACCCGTGTTGGACTTCTGATCGATAGAACTGCAAGGTACAAATGTATGTTGTTTAAGCCACTCGGTTTGAGGTAATTTGTCATGGCAGCAATAGAAAATGAATTCAGCCCTCTAGTGACTTCATGCTACTCAGGGTAAAAGCCACGCCCCTCCGATTCCCCGCGCCCTTTGCTGTGACATCATTTCCTCACACTCCCTTCTTTCTCCCCTCACCCCTCCAACAACTCCAGGGTCTGAACTAGAGTGTAGTTTGCGAGGCACAGGCCTCGACATGCCAAAAAACTCAGTAATCAAGATAAATATTTTAGTTTAATATCAGAATTAATGCAAAAAAATCCATGAAGCACAAAATGTTCAAAGTTAGAAGAGGGACTTCCCTGGTGGCGCAGTGGCTGGGGGTCCACCTGCTGATGCGGGGGGCGCAGGTTCGTGCCCCGGTCCGGGAGGATCCCACGTGCCGCGGAGCGGCTGGGCCCGTGAGCCGTGGCCGCTGAGCCTGCGCGTGCGGAGCCTGTGCTCCGCAACGAGAGAGGCCGCAACAGTGAGAGGCCCGCGTGCCGCAAAAAAAAAAAAAAAAAGTTAGAAGAAAGACAGGACCCGACCCTGCATTTGCACGATTTGCCTCCCCCTAATCCCAGCCCTGAACCTTATTGCTCTCAAGCTTCCGGGCATACTCCATCAGCAGCACTTTTCCATTTGCTTTTGCCCCAAATACTTGCGAAGTGTCCTCCCTTACCTGCTTTGGCCTTTGCTCAAATATCACCCTCATAAGGAGCCTTCCCTGACCCTTTAAAATTGTAGTGCCCCTCACCAACTCTCCCTGACCCCTCCTTTGCTTCATACTTCCCCAAAGCACATTACACATCTAACATTCTATTTTATTTATTTTCTACCATAAAGCAGGTAAAATTTCTCCTTTACCCTCTTAGGGTTTCCACCTGGGACTGTCTTAACAAATTAACAGGAAGAAAGCATAAAAATTTCATTATAATAAAATTTTACATGTACATGGGAGTCCTCACAGGAAAATGAAGACCCAAAGAAATGTATAGGCCTAAGTGTTTATATGCTAGGTTGAACAAAGAGGGACGATTGTGGAAAAGTAAGTAAAATACATGAAGGGGCTAAAGGAAGATAAGAGTTATTTTAACAATGTCGGTTTCTATTGATTTCTCTCAGCCTCGACTCCCTGTCTCTAGTGATACGAATGTTCTTTTCTTCCTGGTATTGGGAGGGCATCTTTCACATGAGAGTTTCATCTCCTGCTCTCAGGAAGAAAATGGGAGGTCAGAGTGCCCTCCTTGCACCTGTTTTTCAAGTGCCTTTAGCTCGAAATAATCGTTATGCCAAAGTGGCATATTTTGGGATGTTGTATTCTAAACCCCTTCCCTACTTATTGTTCACTGCTGTTTCACCAAGGACTAACTGTATGTGGCACGTGATAGGTGTTCAATAAGTATTTGTAGTAGGAATGAAGGAAGGGAATGTGGGGGGAAGGAGAGGAAGAGAGGAAGGGTAGGAAGTGTTATTTGGGTAACAAGGTGTGTATGTGTATTTAAGGATAGACTTTCCCATTGGTTTATTGAAGCCTAAAATCCCTGAAGAACTGCAGTAAGTTTTAATCTGTCTGTTTAAGGAACCATCAATTTTTTTTTTTTGGAACCATCAATTTTTAAGCAGAGTTATATTTTTCCTTTCCCAAAGGAGAAAGCCAAAAAAAGCCAATGTGTTCTATTAGATTAATTAGCAGATTTAGGTTTGCTGTGGACTTTCTTTTCTAGGATTTTAGCTGAGATTCTGGGAAATGTTTGAAGCCCATACAGTTTGTCCAAATTCCTTTGAGATAGAATCTCTGCAGCCCTGTAGTTAATAATGCTTAGAGATTTTATTCTCTTCTAGTTCCCCCTCAAATAAAAATTCGATTTTGATGATCTCCTTCCTCCAATTTTTTACGAGTGCATTCTAATAATCCTATTGTCAAATATCAGTGATAACTTGCATCATAGATAAATTGATTTTTCTGACACAATAACAAAAAATTGTATATATTTAATACAATTGTACATATGTAAATATATAAGATATATTTCAAGGTTGATTAGGATGAAAAATAGACCCAGGTTTTACCACCATCTGTTGACTAACACCCGTAAGACTTGGGGGTTGGCTGGAATATACCAGCTGGGATTTAAGCAGAGTGAAGTTGTATTTGGTGGCACATGCTAAACTATGTGGATTGTGGGCCAGAGTGGCCAGCGTAGGCATGTGTAGGACAAGTAAGCAGGGGAACTAGGTCAGGAGAGAGAAAGGAGAGGTGCAGAGGTGAGAAAGGAGAGGTGCAGAGGTAAGCAAAGGAGAGAGAAACTGTGAGACAAACTTGAGAGAATAGCATCTGTTCCTGACAGCTGTTCCAGTTCCTGTCCTTGATTCTTTGCTTCCTGTCCATGAATACCCATGGACTTGCTCCTTGGCCTTTAAGCTAGTTTGAGGTATTCTCTGTTCCTTGTAGTCAAAACTGACTAGACTGTATATTCCTGAAGATGATTATTGAAAAAACAAAAAGTTATTTGAGCAGACTTGGAAAACCACAGCCAGAATTATGCAGTGCTTCCCACTGGAATTAAAGAGTGGGTTTTGATGTTTTTAGTGTATGAAAGAAAAATGGGTTTTGACTAAATGTAGTATCTCAGATTGGATCCTAGTACAGAAAAAGGATATTGGTGAAATCTGAATAAAGTCTGGAATTTGGTTAATAATAGTAATACCAATTTCTTAACTTTGACAAAGTTAAGTTTGAAAGATGTTAACGTTGGGGCAAACTGGTGAAGACCATACACAACTCTGTACTATCTTTGCAACTCTTCGTAGGTCTAAACTTATTCCAAAATACAAAGTGTATTTTAAAAATAGGCTTCAACTGACTCACTTTGCTGTACATCTGAAACGAACACAACATTGTAAATCAACTATACTCCAAAAAAATAACCTTCAATTCCTAGATAGAGAAGGAAGTAGAATGATGGACTGGAAATAGCAACTATAACAGAAGTCAGAAAAAACAGGGCCAAATCTAGAAAACCATTGGTTCAAGTCTATGCTTGGCTTCTTCCCAGCTGTGATCCCCAGTTCTCTTGTGAATTCATAGTGTTTTTTGGGGACGCAACCAATGACACCAACAATGATAGCCTGGCATGATAAGCCAGGGTGGTGGAGTAGGACGGAGAGGAAGCTGATCCAGCCCAGATACCTGAACTACATATGAATGAGTTCAACCCTAGGCTCCTGGTTGATACTTACTTTTTTGCACTTTGACAAATTAAAAAATCACCATCATGCATACCACTATTACAGCCTCTTCAGAGATGCATGTTAATGTACGTAGAAAATCACAAATCACCGTGCACACACATTTCGTGGGGGTCACCTTTTAGGTAACATTATCTCATTGGCATTTTAAATGTTTGTAATTGTCCTTATAAATATTTTAACAGAAAATATAAATGTATGTATACCCATGTATGTATATACAACATTACTGGTCAAGACCATGGCTACAGAGTCAGGCTCTGCGTTTGAATCCTAATTCCACCACTGTGTGATGCCCATCCTCTCCTGTGCCTCACTTTCCTCAGGCAGAGAAAATGATAGAACTTGCTTAAAAGACAACTGAGATAGCTGAATGAGGTAATGGATACAAATAACAGAGTATAGTGTCTCCCCCTCCCCATTTGGGGTCTTTGCATTTTTCTTGTTCATGTGTATGGATTCTTTATTTATTTTATTTTATTTTATTTTATTTTTGCGGTACGCGGGCCTCTCACTGTTGTGGCCTCTCCCGTTGCGGAGCACAGGCTCCGGACGCGCAGGCTCAGCGACCATGGCTCACGGGCCTAGCCGCTCCGCGGCATGTGGGATCTTCCAGGACCGGGGCACGAACCCGTGTGCCCTGCATCGGCAGGCAGACTCTCAACCACTGCGCCACCAGGGAAGCCCCGTGTATGGATTCTTTATATTAAAAATAGTAGTCCTGGGGCTTC